CATTTTCCATTTCCTTTCTCTTTCTTTACATCACATCAACTTCTTTTTATTTTGGAGGTGACGACAGTGTTCCTTCCTTTTGGGGCCTGTATGCATGTGCGTGATCAAATGTGGACTCGATTAGTTTCAGCCAAATCTATGGGCTGATTCGTTTCTCAAGTGAGGTGAAACTGTTGCACCCTAGAAGTTCATACTCGGGAGTTATATCAATGGAAGGATTTCGACTATAAGCCCTTTTAGCAGCAGTTACACATACTTGCCACCAGATCAATTTGGGTCCTTGCTCTGATATAGCCCAAATCAAAAGCAATGGATATACACACCTTCCTCAATGTATTTTTGTATGAGAAAATGATTTTGATAACTCCCGTTATACTATTTATATATGCATGATATAAGAGCATCTCTACGTGTGGTATTAATTTTTCTTTAGAAGTGTCCTTTGTTAAATCGTTTGACATTTTTATGCTACTTTGAAAATTTCTCCAACCCACTCTTCAACCAACTTTTCAAATTTTATCTTTCACTTTAAAAATATTAACATCTTAATTTTATCTTAATCGTATCTTGTGGGGCTCAACTTTCACTAGTATTATGGGGAAGGAGTTAACTCTAAAAGTACTACTAATTGAGTTTAGGAACTAAACAATATCACTTTTTTATAGAACATTTGGCAAAGTTTATTTTATTTTCAAACTCTTTACCAAACAATATTTTTGAATAAAATATATTACGGGACCAATTTGCTTACTTGAAAAAGTAGCAACTGACCCATCAACGAAAACACTTACATGAATTTTCAAGACCTCATGGTGTGATCAAGGTGAAAGCATATAGATTTTATGACGATTTGTGCCATATTTTGTAAAACCGCTTAATAACCATGATAGTTAGCACACGTTTCTAAGAGAGACATAGATAAATTTTTTATTTTGAAAATTATTTTCCGTCACAATTAAGAATAACTTTATAAGACATTTGAAAATGATTTCACCATTTATCGAACCCCAAATGTATTTTTAATATAATATTAAATAAAAAACTGAAAAATAAATGAACAAAAATTAGTAGCAGGGCCTAAAACATTGCCAAAACGGAGCTCCATTTACAAGAATATCAACAAAAAATATTATATGAATTTTCAAAACCTCACAATGCAGTGAAGGTGAAAGCATATAGATTTTGTACTATTTTGCAAAATTGCCTAAAAACCATGCCACATTTTTTGAGGAAAAATTTTAATTTTTTTAATTTTTGCAAATTAATTTTTGTCATGATTAAGAATAACTTTATAAGGTATTTAAAAGCAGCTTACTGTTTATTAAGTTACAAATATATTTTCAATAGAATAATTACGCTGAAAACTGAAAAATAAATAGAAAAACAATGTAGCGGGGAAAAAACTTGGACATGCAATGACCAACAGAAACTCGAGTGGATAATTTTGAATTCCTTAGTTCAAAATCTTTGTGGTAAGTGGCCTGCAAAATTGTTAAGTAGAATACTGATAAACCAAACTCTAAACGCTCACATGAATCCTGAATGTTCAATAAAAAGCATTAATTGAGAAATACGAAGTTCATTCCTGAAGATGCCGCTCGAACCCTCTAAGTCAATTTTTTCTTTAACCCGCAAAACCCCGGAATATTGAAAACTACAGAATCTAAGCAAAAGCATATAATGACATACTACAACATTGAACTTTGATAGAAAAAATCAAACGAATTAAAACATTGACATTGGTTTTGGCAACAAAATTTGAGAAAACTCTTCCGTTTTGAGGAGAAATTTTTAGTTGTGACGGGAACACAAGTGGTACATCATGTGTTTTAATAGGAATGGTAAAAAATTTTATTTTTTAAGTTTTAACATTTTAGCACATATATCCCACCAATTGTTTAGTAACATGTGATGTACCACCTCGTGTATCGGTCATACTGAAAAATCTCTCCGTTTTGAGGTTTATCTCTGTATCACGTGGCTTTCAATTGAATTGCATTTTTACGATATTGTCCTCGTTATGTATTCTTTGTTTTTTCTAGTAGTTATAAATACAGGCCATATTGGAGTTTATTTGAATGTTTAACCATAAGGGCTTCTCCCCCAATAATATAGATAAAATAATAATTTTACTTATCTAAAATATTAAAACATTCTTCCACACTTTTCTCCCACTTCTGTCTCTCCTAGATTTTTCACTCACGTATGTTCATGCATAGCATGTGTTAGTACACTTGAGGCAGTATGTATTATTTGTAACATATCAAGTGATCCGTGCGTGTTAAATTTTTTCCATGTTTAAATAGGTGATCAACAGTGCATGCATAAGTGATCACCGTTGTACACTTGAGAGGCGATCATCAATGTCCGCCCATCACCAAGCCAAATTAAGATCTGTACATGCAGTAGAATATATAAGATTTATAAACTGACAACGAAGAAAACGTTTACTAGTCCTTTTCCTTCTTTAGAGTCGATACATTCCCTTCAAAGCAAAAGTTCAGAATCTAATTGCATTAGTGAGCTAAAAGTACATATAGAAGAGAACAACATAGGTTTGAAAACTCCCTATCAATCTCTTTTTTCAAAACTCTATCAAATTGCATACTTTATCTTCAAATAGATAAAGGTTAAATGAAAAACGACAAGAACTGTAACGCTTTTTCTTATTCCCTAACTTTATTCAAAGAAAGCTAACTAATTCTTCTACAATATTTTCTTGGCAACTATTGTATTAGAGTAGGAAACTCACATAGATTCAAGGAAACTTCCGATTTTTCTTAGAGTTTGTTTATTTAACACGAAAATGATTTTTGTAGAGAAGCTTTGGAGAACTAAAACTTGGAGTTTCTCTATGAAGATTTCCTCAAATAACATATCATTCTCTTTTCTATATTTGGTTTAAAAATTAAAAAATGCAAATATCTATGTGTCCGCAAAAAAATCATCATTTCGCTTAACATGTTTTTGTTTAGAGTATAAATGCTTAAAAAATCTTGGGCCTCAATCTCCATTGTTACCAATTAGTTTTACGTTTGATACTTAACCAAAAGAAAAAAAAAAGAGAAGTATATATCAACGTAAGAGGAAACTCTAACTGAAAGATCCATGAAATAATTAATTTTATTTAAGGGACACCATTTTATGACCTACTCGCGGTACCATATTTGAATAATGTGTGAAGCAACGCATATATCTACTTATTAGGTTTGTTTCAAGGATCATTTTTGCATGAACATCAATCTAGTTAATTCACCAAACGACATTTGTGTTATGATGATAGCGCAGTCGGTATACTGAACCAATATTTCCAATAATATTTCTCTTGAACAACATTAATAATAAGGATGATGAAGGTAATGTTGATTGTTTATCATGTTATTTTGCTACCTGTTCATAATGAGTGGACTGCCTTGTTAACTCAAGTAGCTTACATCATGCTTAAAGTGATCTCACAACACCATATAGTTGTAAATAGATCTCAAACATCATGTCTCATTTGGACCTAGACTCCATCACCAATCAATCACTTTAATGCCTAACTTAATTGAAAACCTATGCTAACAGACTCGACTTCATTGTTTATCATGTTATGACGATGATTTAGTCATCAAGATTAATGGTAATTATTTCAGCTGTTAAACCAACCGTTTGAGTTATGATGGTGTGCATGTTCTATTGTAAAAATAAACCTCTATTGACATATTATCCAATTTGCAATTTGATCAAATAATTAGGAGTTACATTTTGTGTACTTATTGCATGTCACCAATCAAACAATCAACTGAACAACTTTCAATACACTTTTTAATAATGAGATTAATGATATACAATACATGCTTTGAAATTATAGAAACAAAGCAATGAAGAGAAAATTGTCTCATAAAATTTGACCCAATCGAAATACATGTAGGGAATCCTTAAGCTTGAGTGAACCCTAACTTGATGCGCACCGTAAAAAGGTATGGTGAGATACACGCAAGAGCTTCTCTGACCTAATAGACAATAAATTTTTAGTTATGACCGGAATACGGATGGTACACCATGTGTTTTTATGTAAGTGATGAAAAAATTTAATTTTTTAGTTATTAAACTTTTAACACACATAACCAACCATTTATATAGAAACACGTGATGTACCATTTCGTGTGACGATCCCACTGAAAAATCTCATTAGAAAGAAGTGGGTCCCGCTTCAGATTTGGTGCCATGATGGACCATTCAGGTCAGGACAGCTCAATCTCGAGTTCAGAACTTCAGAGCGCGCGCACAGTAACGAACCCAAAAATATCAGAGAAAAAAAGAGCGAGGTTGATGGCACAACAGTAATACCCCACCAAACCCAGGACATTTCCGTAATCTAACAACCTCAACATTGGTGTGAGGTCTTGCTTTCGGGCACCCACTATTTAAACCCATTGGGATCGGTCGGGATCATTCTCTCTCCCTCTGGAATTTCTTCAAGCAGCTTGCGTTCGTTGGAATCTCTCTTTCTTTCTCTAGAAATCTCGTGGGAGTTCATCAGGTTTCTCATTGGCAGATTCCTCCGTTGATTTTCTGCTACTGAATCTAATTTTTTTCGAATTTTTGTTTGTATTTTGGTTAAATTTTGATTGTTTGATTAGGAGGTTTTGTTTGGTGGATTAAAGTTTGAATCTTTTGATATGCTCATTGGATCTCAGAATTGAAATTTCCGATAAATTACTGTTTTCGATGCTTTCGGCGGGAGATGATTACTTCAATTTCATTTTTTGCATGAAAAGCTTTGTGTTTGTGTGTGTTGGAAGTGTGAAATGTGGAAGTGCAATGATTAGGGAGTAAAGATTGAGTTTTCTTAGCTAGTTTTGTTGCTTTCATTATGATCTCGTGCAATCGAATCCGCTTTTTCGATGCCATTGTGGTCCGGAATCCGTTGGTTTCGTGATTATTGTTGTTTTGAAGATGATTGGTGCGCGGAACAAAAAAGGAGTGTGTAGTCGGCACGATTGTGGTATTGTCTTATTGTATTCGTATTCTTGTTATTTGCTTTGAGGTTTGATCAGTAATTGTTAGCTTATTTTATAGCTTTTTAAAGTGTCAGCTACTATGTAGTTGTGATTATATGTGCGCAATATACGACGTTGATCCAATATTATTTGGTTTCATAAGTATCTTATTTGTTTGGTGGTTGTATCGTGTTAAAGTTTACAACTTTACTTGCATATTAGTATCATCATCTTAAAACTTACAACTTTTCTTGCATATTAGTCTCATCATTTTACAACTTTACTTAATATTGCGATTAATCTAGAATGGATGCATGGTATAAACAGTTTAATTTGATACTCTGGGGAGCTATAAGTTCAGTTCAGAGTACTTTAACACTATGCAAAAAAAAAAAAAAAAAAAGATCTGCTCTGCCGAAGTAACTTACCAGCTACCTGACCTGAATTTAACCCAAGCTTGGCTTAATCAATTTAAGTTTTAGTGCCAAAGTAGGGTTGAATGCTGCTTTGGACTAAGGATCTGATCGAAATGCAGATATTAATAAGTTAAGCTATATGTTTTGATGTTTTGTATGATCATGCACTTGGTTCAGTCTTTCTATTTCATGACCTTGTAAACCTTCTCCTTACCTCTTTCTATGTAGGTCTATGAACATGGGCTCGAATTCAGTTGTGGATATGATAGAGGCCTCCTCAGGGGTTCATTTTTCTGGATTTCACATGGATGGCTTAGAGCAAATACAGAAGGTGGAGCTACCGATAACATCAGCACATGAAAACATGCATAAACAGCCCTTCGTTATTGGTAAGTGTAAATTTATGGTTTGGTTTTCATTGTTGTTCCTAAGCAGGCATGGTAGCTACTTTCTTTAACTCTGCTTTCAAATGATCCATAATTTCATACATATTGTCACAGGTGTTGCTGGTGGGGCAGCTTCTGGTAAGACTACTGTTTGTGATATGATTATACAGCAGCTTCATGATCAGCGTGTTGTTCTTGTTAACCAGGTAATATTTCCTTGTTCAAGTGTAGAATTTTGTGATCTATTAGGCTAGTTGTTACATAATTTTTGCATGATTTTTTTTATTATTTGGTTCTCCTGTATTTCACGTCCGAGAATTTTGCCACTTTTCCAAGTTAGTATCTTATATATCGTGGATGATATTATTACAGGATTCCTTTTATCATAATCTGACTGAGGAGGAACTTAATCGTGTACATGAATACAACTTTGACCATCCTGGTGAGGGCAATATTGCAGCTTCAAATTTAAGGGAATGTAAAATTGTACATGGACAAATATGTATATGAAATGTCATGATTTTTAAATGAAACATGTGCAATCTATCAAAGAATTCCATGTTGCTACAGTTTGAGACACCTAAAATGGTAACCAGACGGTAGTAATGTCGTGCTCTTAGTTTTCTGCATAACTCAACAAGTTGATTTTCTGTAGTTTTTCTTTAGTGCTTTGCACATGGTTGGATTATAGAAATTTAAAATTAGATTGTGACCTTTGGTATGTTCAGTTACTATTTCTTCCAAGTACTTTATCATGCGTGCTGGTTGGCTCAGTTTTATGCTGGCTGTCTTTCAAATTTTAATTCATATTTTTTGCATATCATCAGATGCTTTTGACACTGAGAAACTATTATCTTCTATGGACAAGTTGAAGCATGGGCAAGCAGTAGATATTCCAAACTATGATTTCAAAAGTTACAAGCATAGTGTGTTTCCAGCTAGACGGGTAGGTTTTGAAATCTGCGGCATCTATTAGACATATTGTCCAACATCTTGTTACCTGTTGTTTTGAGGTCTTATTCTTGTGAAGAGGTAGCTTTTGGAATTATATCAGAACACGTGTACACATTCTTATTTTCATGTATCTTGTGTAATTCTGTCGTATGCACTGAAATTCTTTATCTTATCCTATTATCCTGAACAGGTAAATCCTTCAGATGTCATAATCTTGGAAGGCATTCTTGCTTTCCATGATCCTCGTGTCCGAGAGTTGATGAATATGAAGATTTTTGTTGATACAGGTCATTTTTCTTTGTACCTACTTTTTCCTTTGGAATTGATAATTTTTCTTTGCCTTCCGAGAGTGTGCTGTCGAAGCTTACGTCGCCACAAACAATTCTCATTGTGTGAAATTTTTTTTTTTGTTTCATTTTCTAGTATATTCATCTCATTCATATTATTTGGCTTTCACGTTAAATTTTTTAACTTGATTAGCCAGGATGTGGGGTCTCTGGTGTTGCATGGTTGTATTGCTTTTCATTTAATATCTTCTCATCGTATATTGAAATCAATTCTTTGTAATAGTTATAGTTGTCATAAGTGGAATGGTATATGTCACGTCATATTGTTACTAAATTAGGCCACTTCACATTTTAAAATTTTCAGTGCAGATGCTGATGTTCGGTTGGCTAGGAGGATAAGGCGTGATACAGTTGAGAAGGGAAGGGATATTGGTCAAGTTCTTGATCAGGTTTCCAACTTTCCATTTCATTGTTGTTAGACTTAATGTTGGTTTTTGTCCGAGCTTATACATAAGAGTTTTTTTTTTCATGCTGTGAATTCACAAAAGAGTGTACGTGACTATTTTTTCTCAGTGACAATACTTGTGAGAATTCTCTTCTCGTAGAGTGTTAGTACTCAGTACTTGTGGAAAAGAATTCAAGATAAGTGGTGTACTCTTGAATAAACTGGATAATTTTTTCTACCCTATTGTACTCAAGTCATTCTTTGACTATTTTACCCAGGGTGTTAAAGGGTTTCTTCTTTCATTCCTATTACCTCTACTTAACTTTGTTCTCCATGTTCATGTGATTTAGGCAACCAATTTAATGCTTACAACCTACTTCTTTGATGACGCCTTTTCTCTGATGGTGATTATCATTTTAATGCAGTACTCAAATTTTGTTAAGCCGGCTTTTGATGACTTTATTCTTCCAACTAAGAAGTATGCTGATATCATTATTCCTCGAGGCGGAGATAATCACATAGCTGTTGATTTGATTGTACAACATATTCGTACTAAGCTTGGTCAACATGACCTTTGTAAAATTTATCCCAATTTATATGTCATACACTCTACCTTTCAGGTACCCTTCCTAGATATTTATATTCTTTGTATGTGAATTTTATTTTTTTTGGCTCATCAATTATTGTTGCTGGTCTCATGCAGATACGGGGTATGCATACCCTCATACGTGATTCTCAGACAACAAAGCATGATTTTGTTTTCTATTCAGACCGGTTGATTCGTTTGGTGGGTATTTGATTCTTCGAATCAAGGGGATGATTTGATGGGTTTTAAGATCATTAATGAAATAGGGCCAATTATTATCTGTTTAAACCACTCATCATAAGTGCTGAATCTTGAATAGGTTGTTGAACATGGCCTGGGACATCTACCATTTACCGAAAAGCAGGTGATCACTCCAACTGGTAAGATGATTTTCATTTGGACAAATTATCATATATAACGTTCCCCATATTTGATTTTTGATTTTGGCTATCCTTTGTTTTCTTTGGTCTGGATGCAGGTTCTGTGTATATTGGTGTGGATTTTTGTAAGAGGTTATGTGGTGTGTCTATCATCAGGAGGTACAGATCCGCTCCTTTAAGGCATTTGGTTTTTCTGGATAGAAAAAAATAGTCTTCTACGATTCTTTCTAGTTTGGCTTTCTTTACACATGAACAATCACTTTCTTTCAAATGCATTCTTGTGAAAACAAATGATGATTATAATTAGACGTTTTAAGTAGATCTGAATCGAAACCCAACCTGGTCTTTGTGAACCATATGGTCTTGTAACCATCAGGTACAATGTTGTATCTCCTGCTGAGTTTGATTTTATTTATAAAAAAAAAAATGAATTGCTATACGTTTTAATGGTTTGATTAACATTCTTCTATTACCAGTGGCGAGAGTATGGAGAATGCTTTGCGAGCATGTTGTAAAGGTATCAAGATTGGAAAGATTCTTATTCACAGAGAAGGAGACAACGGTCAGCAGGTTCACACCTCTCTCTCTCTTCTCACTCCCACCCCTCGTGTTGGTCCAACTGCATGCATTTTCATGCCTGCATTTCTGTTACCCCCAAATGTTTTTCTTATTGATCTATTGTCTGAACAGCTAATTTATGAAAAACTACCCAACGACATTTCAGAGAGGCATGTATTACTGTTGGATCCTATCCTAGGCACAGGTTCGTTTTTTTCTGATAATATATAGTTATTGTTTGGACTTGCCGATTCTTCAGAATCAAGTACGCTAACAAAGAAAATAAATGACTGTCAAAAGTGATTCTTTTTAAAATCGTATTGAATTATTGGCTATTATAAAACTACATACCATTGTCTTCAGGGAACTCGGCTGCTCAAGCTATTTCTCTAATTTTAGAGAAGGGCGTGCCAGAGTCCAACATTATATTTCTCAATCTCATATCTGTAAGTTAACGTCTCTCTCACGTGCTTCAGGTTCCTCTGACTATCAGTTTGATTTTGGACTACCCTCTGACTGTTACTTGTAAATTTGTAATGATGTTGCACATCAATTGGCCAGGCACCTCAAGGTGTGCACATGGTCTGCAAACGCTTCCCCAGAATAAAGATTGTGACCTCTGAGATTGAAAGTGGTCTGAACGAAGATTTTCGTGTCGTACCTGGCATGGGTGAGTTTGGGGACCGGTATTTTGGAACTGATGATGATGATCAAGTGGTAGGTCCTCCATCAGTGTAGTTCCAATAAAAACTGCTAGTTGGTCCAACCCTGATCAACTCAAGTTATTTTCGGCAATGATGGAAATCAGTTCAACTTGGCTTGCCTAGTACTGTGCTGGGTTCTACATTTCAGTGGTGAAAAAGTTTTGACTTCATGAAACCGAACTAGCATCCTTTGAATCTTGGATAATTTTATTTTTGAACCATTTGGCATATAGGGTTTTTCTTTCTCAGATGATGCTCTTCTATAAAGTGACGATACCGTTGAAAGGGTTGGACCGCTAGTTGTCGTAGCAGGCAGTGAATGTGTGCCTAGATTTTCAATTTGCCTTTTGAAGTTTACCTTGCATCTGTATGGCTTAAAGGGGAAGCGATTTACGGGCAAATGAATGGCCCTCCCCATGATATGTATTATGAACCAGGACATTCACCGACAGTGATAATATATTTTTCGTTGCTTCACAATTTTCTTGTCGTTCCTCATTTTCGTAAGCTCTTGCATACGGTGAGGGTGTACCGCTCTCAAAATAACTAGTCACGCGATGAGAATTGTAAAGGCTGAACGGGAGAGAGATGCGGTATACCCTCATTTATGTGATTAGTTGTTGGATAAAATTTCATTTCAATGACAGATTTTGAATGGTTATTAGTTGTTAATGCATGTGAGATCAATAAGATGCATAGATTATTGCTGACAATTGGGCGACTGTTCTTCGCATTCCATCTATTACTAGCGAACTGAAAACAGAAAACCGAAGTGGATGAGTCACACATGGTCGGTTAGGAGATCCAAAATTTTCCTTTGGTTTGTGTCTCTTCAACTTCTGAGTAATTTGGATGGGGATCGCTAGCCCTTCCACACAAACTTTTGCCTGAGGATATGACTTGCCACTTGGCAAGGAGAGTGATCACTCGTTGCTTAAACACAGGTTGATAACTTTCCTTAGGCTAACCTTTTGACACGTGTCGGTGAATGCCCTGGTGTATTTCTGATGAAATATTCCGCGGGAGCATTGTGTACATAGGTTGTTGGGTGTGTAAGTTAGATTTTGCACTTTCGTCCAGTGTTATCTGATACCTATCCTAAATCCTCAACCATGTCAGCCTTTGTTGGCAAGTATGCTGGTACTCTTTCTCTCTCCCCCTCCCTCTCTCTCTCAATAACAAACTTGTTTAGGACTGCTTTTCAGAAAAACACTTTTGGGTCGTAAAATACTTTATGAAGAAACACTTTCTAATGCTTTTTTCAATAAGTACTTACATTTTTTATTTTTATTTTTTTACATTTCTATAATATAATCGTAAGCATAAGTAGTTCTTACTAAACCAGTTCCAAATGAGGGAGTCTAATGGACATGAGTCATGACACTGGTGGAAATCATTTGGGTCTTTGACTAAGAAAAATAAGCACTTTTTCAATAAAATGATTGTGAGCATAAGTACTTCTGACGTAACCAGTTTCAAATCAGCAAGTATTGTGGACGTGAGTCCTGATAAGCACTGCGTTGGAAACAATTTTGGTCATTCACCATGAAATTTTCGAAAAACCAAACAATTTCCTTAAGAGAACATGTAAGTATATATATATAAAAAACTCATTGCAGTCATCCCTTAGCCTGTAAAAAGTTTGAATTATACTCAACCCCTCTTGGTTTTGTGCAGAGGAGCTTATAAAGAATGCCAAGTACATTGCCACCCCAGGCAAGGGCATATTGGCAGCAGATGAGAGCACAGGCACCATCGGCAAGCGTCTATCCAGCATCAATGTCGAGAACATTGAGTCCAACCGCCAAGCTCTCCGAGAGCTTCTTTTCACTTCTCCCAACGCCCTCCCTTACCTCTCTGGTGTCATCCTCTTCGAGGAGACCTTGTACCAGAAGAGCTCTGATGGCAAACCCTTCGTCGAAATCCTCCAGGAAAACAATGTCATTCCAGGCATGGTCTAAAATTTCGATAAATAGATACACATTTTTTTTTCGACATCTGTTTTTGGACACACCACTTAAGTTTCCATATTTTCATTAACATCAACGTTTACCACTTTGATTCAGGGATCAAGGTTGACAAGGGCACCGTTGAGTTAGCTGGAACAAATGGAGAAACAACAACCCAAGGCTTTGACTCTCTGGGAGCTAGGTGCGCACAGTACTACAAGGCGGGCGCGCGTTTTGCCAAGTGGCGTGCCGTGCTCAAGATAGGCCTCACCGAGCCCTCGGAACTGTCCATCCAGCAGAATGCGCAGGGCTTGGCTCGCTATGCGATCATCTGCCAGGAGAACGGACTAGTGCCAATCGTTGAGCCAGAGATTTTAACTGATGGAGATCATGACATTAAGAAATGTGCAGCTGCTACTGAAAAGGTTCTTGCAGCAGTTTACAAGGCACTCAATGAGCAACATGTTCTTCTTGAAGGCACACTCCTTAAGCCCAACATGGTTACTCCAGGCTCTGACAGCCCAAAGGTAAAAACAGAAAATAATTGATTATTGCCTCTATTGAGCTTTCTCTCACAAAGAAATTCTTACATAAAATCATTGTATATATGTCTCGATTATGTATAATATCATTGGTAATATGACTGACATGAAAGATGTGGAATGTAAGAGTTTAATGTTTGTACAGAATCAACCCAAATTACTGTATGTTAGGTTTAGAATTCACCATTGAATGTTATATTAATATTGTAGGAATCATGATTTAGATGGCTTTGTAATACTATATATGACAATTGGTGTATCGCATACATGTTATAGTTATTCCTGAAGTAAGATAAAAGTTGTATTTGTAACAAAAAAAATGTTCATTTCTCATAGAGCGGAGCGCGTGCATGTTGGTCGCACCATATAAAAGTAGTTTCATGTAGAAGTATTGAAAGAGGAAGATTATATATAACCGGCACATACAACATTGTAAACATAATTATTCTTCATACTGAAAGGGCTTCAATCTTTTCACAGGTTACGCCAGAGGTGATTGCTGAGTACACAGTGACTGCACTCCGCCGGACAGTCCCAGCAGCTGTGCCTGGGATTGTGTTTCTGTCCGGTGGACAAAGTGAGGAAGAGGCAACACTCAACTTGGATGCAATGAACAGGTTGGATGTGTTGAAGCCATGGACTCTTTCATTCTCGTTCGGGCGAGCTTTGCAAGCAAGCACACTCAAGACTTGGGTTGGGAAGAAGGAGAATGTTGCAAAAGCTCAGGAGACGTTCTTGACAAGGTGCAAGGCAAACTCAGATGCCACACTTGGAAAGTACTCTGGAGGAAGTGCTAGTGGATTGGCTTCTGAGAGTTTGTTTGTCAAGGGATACAAGTACTAGGCCTTTAACCGGATGGACATATAATTGCATGAAGCAACGTAAACTTGTATTTGATTTTGGTCCATGACTCCTGGTAGTTGGTACATATTCTACGATGTTAATTCCCATTATAAATGTACTTGACTGACCAAATGTATTCTCGCTCACACTATTCATATTAAAGCAAATCAGGCGCTCATATGAAGTGCTTTAATTTTAACATGATTAAAAGTTCTGTCGGTGATATTAATTTTGGATTCCCAAAGCATATGAAGTGTTCTTTGAAGAAGCATCAGATATGTAATTTTTGCAGAAAATACTTAAAAGTGTTTTTTCAGGATTCAATTAGATTTCTACCATGAATTGGTTAAAAAAATATTTTCGCTAAAAGGTCTTTCAATCATTTTAAAAACATTTTTAAAATATTTTTAATAGAGAGAGAATTTACAATCAAACAACATATTTACCTTTAAATTAGTCAATTTAAAACGTCAAAATGTAGTTAGTTTGATGAACGATTTATTGGTAGCTTAGTATTCGAAAAACAACTTAGCCCGAATCCTAAACCACATTTGTTCATGAACTCAATAGTATCCAAAACAATGTGATGTCAAACTATGAGCAATACAATTGCATTATATTATTGACGAGGATGTTTCACATTCTATAACCGCCATCATTAGCATCCCAACTAAAACACAGAACAATTTTCTACTTGCTCCTCACTAAGAACTCTTTGAAGGATACCCATTGTTCTTATACTTGCTCCTCACTTCTTGATTATTTGCTTGCTTACAAACACAAAGCACATCGCCTTATGTTTGTACACGAGCATAGCCGACTTACCAAGTCGATTGAGTTGGACTCCGATTCATCCTAGCCACAAGCTTGTGGTTGCTCTAGATTTTTCTACGACAAACAGAAAACAGTTTTCTAGCCTACCTTACCAACCTAGCCTAAGTCGGTGGACTTGGCTTGTACTTTTCCAGCCAAAGTCTTCAAGCTTGCTGCTATATTTTGCTAGAGTTTTCTAGCAGAATCCATGCACCAAATTTGGGTCATTTGTGTTGCACCGTATTTGGGTTGAAAACATCTTGCAAAATATAGCAGCAAGCTTGAAGACTCTGGCTGGAAAAGTACAAGCCAAGTGCACCGACTTAGGCTAGGTTGGTAAGGTAGGCTAGAAAACTGTTTTCTGTTTGTCGTAGAAAAATCTAGAGCAACCACAAGCTTGTGGCTAGGATGAATCTGAGTCCAACTCAATCGACTTGGTAAGTCGGCTATGCTCGTGTACAAACATAAGGTGAAGTGCCTTGTGTTTGTAAGCAAGCAAATAATCAAGAAGTGAGAGCAAGTAGAAGAACAATAAGTGTCCTTAGGGTAACGTTGTGAGTGTTAGCTTCTAAAATTGTGAGTTTTTCTTTTGAGAGTTTGTGTTGTAATATTTGTGGATGTAATACAAGTAATTTGCTTACTTGTTTTGTCTCTCCAACACTTAGAGTTGTGTACTCTAATTTTCTCAACAATTGGTATTAGAGCTAAGTTCGACTTTGGTGGAGCTTCCTTGAGTCGTGAGGAGTTTAGTACTCTGCAAGTTTGATCTTATTCGGCAAACAGAAATTCTGCCAACATGATAAGAAGCTCAACAACAAAAATTACAACATATAGGCAACATGCAGGGAGTCTTACTGCAAAGACATGTCACTTACGTATTGTAATTTTTGTTGTTGAGCCTCTTGATTCCTCCAACTACTTGAAGATCACCCATCATGTCGACAGAATTTTGATCTGCTAAACAAGATCAAACTTGCAGGTAAGACTATGCATGTCGTCCATGTGTTGTAATTCTGTTGTTGAGCTTCTTATCATGTTGGCAGAATTTCTATTCGCCAAATAAGATCAAACTTGCAGTAATCATGGAAGCTTCACGGAAGCCGAACTTGGCTCTGATACGAATTATTCAGTATTAGAATACAAAATTATAATATTTGGATGTTAGAAGACAAAAACAAGTAAACAAATTACCTATATTATACTCACAAAATATTATAACAAATAAACACTCGAGAAAAAATGCACAATTTATAACCTAACACTCGCTCACTTTCTAAAAACAGAATCTATAGCACTCATAGTCTTATTTGATTCTGACTTACTTCTTGGTTATTTGCTTCTCTGCTTGCTTCTTACAACAAACATATCACATATTTATAGCCAATGTTTGCCGACTTTTCTACTGCTTACCGACTTAGCTTGGCATGATAGCCACACATTTTTACTCCGTCCAACTTAATGAGACAATACTTTATTATTAATCCTATCTGGTGCCTTATACGATGTGTCAAACAGGACCTAAGATTCTACTCCGTCCAACTTAATGAGACAATACTTTATTATTGTTTGTACGAGACTCAAGGCCAGAAAACATAAAAACGGCCCGACTCGTTAGCAAGGACGAAACGGCGAGTTTCAGTCCATCTGCTTCAAATCTTTTAACCTGCCACTGTGTCCATCTCTTCGCTCTCCTCCTCCAGAAATGTCGTCGTCTTCTTCAATCTCATCGTCGTTTCGATTATTCACCACCAAAATCCCTGGCTCAATTCTCAAACCTAAAACCCCAAAACCTCCATTCATCTCTTTCCCCAAAAGATCCATCACTTTCCAAAGAATCCCCACTATATCCTCCGCCTCCCCTCCGCCGCCGTCCGCATCCGCAACGAGCTCCACGTCCCTGCAGCCCGTCGAGGACCTCCCTCCGAAGCTCCAGGAAATCGTCAAGCTCTTCCAGTCTGTACAGCTCCCGAAGGCCAAGTACGAGCAGCTCCTGTTCTACGGCAAGAATTTGAAGCCGTTGGATGATCGATACAAGACGAAGCAGAACAAAGTGGAGGGATGCGTCTCGCAGGTGTGGGTCAGGGCGTATCTTGACTCAGAGAAGAATGTGTTTTTCGAGGCTGATTCCGACTCGGTCCTTACCAAGGGACTCGCTGCTTTGCTAGTTAGCGGGTTATCGGGCCGCCCGGTGGATGAGGTTTTGCGGGTTTCGCCCGATTTCGCGGTGCTTCTGGGGCTGCAGCAGAGCCTGACTCCGTCGAGGAATAATGGGTTTTTGAATATGTTGAGGTTGATGCAAAGGAAGGCGAAGGAGTTGCTTGTGGAGGAAGAAAATGGAGGGGAGAGTGAGCGTTTCGTGGCGAAAATTGAAGATAATGTCGAAAGTTTGGAGCTTGGAGTGGATTCTGAAGTGGGCGGGGGAAAGAATTCGAATTCGGGTTTGACAGTTGATGGTGGGATTGAGGGTGAGGATATTGGATTGAGTTCTAGAGAAAATGTTAAGCAATTGGAACTGGTAGCGAGTGAAACGAGCGAAAATGTGGCAGATTCAGGTGACTTGGGAAGCAGAGGGAAGAGAATTCAGGAGAAATTGATGCGAGAGTTAAGTCCTGTGGAATTGGAAGTGGAAGACATATCTTATCAACATGCCGGGCACGCTGGGGTTAGAGGGAGTGGTGATGGGGAGACGCATTTCAATGTGAGAGTTGTGTCTAAGGAGTTTGAAGGGAAGAGTTTGGTTAAGAGGCATAGGCTTATATATAGTTTGTTGCAAGAAGAATTGCAAAGTGGACTACACGCATTGTCGATTGTGGCGAAAACACCATCTGAAGTGAGTGGAGGGTGAAGGCACGGCTCCGGGTTTCTTATGTGAAAGAGGTTCATATTTTTGAATTTTTGCTCTTATATATTGCTTCGATGATCTTATAATGAGGTTGTTGGTCTGAATTTTCAGAACTGTTGTACACGTAGTGCTCATAAGATTTGTTAGAATGTGAACATATGCTTTCTTGAATCTTTATGCATAATTGAATTACATATTGGTGAAAACCTTGTGGCGAACATTGATTAACTTGGCATAATACACTGGATATGTTTTTAAGGCAAATAATGAGACCTAACGATATAGCACTTAGAGGGATCAATAATTCTAATGGAAATCGTTGATTTGCAGACTGAATCTCGTTGTGGTTTCTTTACCATAAGGTAGTTTAGATATGTATTGTCGTCCAGTGGAAATTTTAGTACAAAGTATAGAGGTTGTGCTAGTTTTCATCTGCTGGCTACTCTCCAGCCACCAGCTGTCCATTACGTAACATTGTTGATTGTCTAGTACACAGTCGTATTGAACATCCGACAGTGATCTTGCGGCGTTTCTTTAAACCACAAATCAATCTCTTTAAATCTAGAAAAGAAAGATATAATATATTAGGTGATTTCTGATTAGGACACTTTTGACATAGAAACAATCTAGAAAAGTACCCCCAACAAATACAAACCTGTAGCTGGATTCTCCTGCTCTTGTCTTAATTCAATCTCTGGTTGACTTTCTGTAAAATTTTGGACCGAACATTGCTTTTTATATGAATTCTTTTAATTAAGTAAACATATTAAAGTGGTAGTGCAGTGGTGGAGCACCATAACGGATTAACGTGTCAGTATTAAAACAAGGGAGAAGTTATGCCCAAATCTTTGCAGGATCCTAGTTGAATCTCCATACATCTCTTGCTAGTGCTTCTGATTCCTCTGTTCAGTTCCAATTCAGCAGACCTTTTTTTTTTTCTGTTCTGCAGACGAGGCTATCGTGTTTCCTCTGTTTTTTAGTCCCATTTCTTGTGTACCGTATTTGTTCTAGATGATAAGTGTGTCCTGTAGGTTTTGTTGCTAAGGGACTTGTGATAGAGCCAACCGAATGTCTGAATGCAAAAACAGAAAAGAAAAAACTACTTCGTAAGTTGTAGAAAAGAATGCTTATGTATCATATTTATACATATGATATAACCTTTATACATTTAGGTTTCAATGTAGACATAATAAGAGCATAGAAGGAAGATACCAGGAAATAGTTCTCCTGATCATCTTTTAGATTTGCAACTTCTTGCTACTAAAACACCCGTTGGTGGACCTGTCATCTGTAACTGGCATCTGCTATGCAACCAGTAAGAAAAATGGATCATACCTAGACTGGCTCTCACTTTAAATGTTCCTCTCATATTATAGTTGACCTGATTGTTCTGCACCTGCGTCCGAAGTGCCACAGCGTGATTGACAGGCAGGTAAACCAAGCTCGATATTAGGCGAACTGATCCCAACCTTCCTTTTCCAGGTCTTTGTGTGAAAGGTGCAAGAGATTGAGTTGCTATGAGCCTGTCAGAAAAGTAAAGCTCCATATCCAGATACTCAAATCTTATATCGATTTTCCGATTAGGGTTGGAGAAATTTGCGAGGAAAGTGAAGTCGCCGTTGAAGTATTCAGGTGAGTCGAAGTAGATAGTGTTGAGGCGTGCATTGGGGATGTCAAATGATGGAGTTTTTGGTTTAATAACTAGGAAGAGTATCAAAGTTGCAATTCCAAAGAAAATAAGAATAAGGCTAAATATGAGACACGCAATTGCACAGCACCATATAAGCGGATTTGTCCGTTGAGGTTGCCGGAGTATTGTTTGCTTTGTCGGTTTACTTGAGACTAGATTTTCTTCATCAGGTGCTGGGGCTTCTCGATTCGGAGCGAACTTTGATATGATGATTTGTCTGGAGGAGATTGGTGTCGTTGGCCTTGTGGATCGGGGCGTGCGTCTGGTATGCCGTTGGGGCGGGGGTTGAGGTAGCGGCGAAGGTGGAACTGGAGACGGCGGTGGAGGTGGGAGGGCTAACATCTGTGAAGAACAACCGGAAGCAAAACAGCTGGACCTAGTAATGAAGGGGGAAGATGAAGATAATTGTTTGTTTAAATAAATGAGGAAATTGATTAAAGCAAGTAAAGGAAAAGAAGCTTTTGATTGAGGGGTAGAAGTGGTATTTGCAAAAGAGGGTTTTGGTGGAGCTAAAGGTGGGATGTTTGTGTTTGAATGGTTTTGCTTTTGAAATTGCTGATTGCAAGCACTGTTTGAAACAGAAGTGGCCCTGTTCTGCAAAGTGCTTTGATTACAAGCACTTTTGATTGGTTTGACTAGTCGAAGTTGTGAATGGTTAGATGTACTGCCAGCTTGCAGTTCTTATTGAACGCCTAAAAATGTTTTTATTGACAACTAAGAATGCTTCTAACTGTATTTAGTATAAATAGTTAGGAGTGCCTTCCACAACATAAAAACATTTTGTGAAAAAAGCATATATCAGATGATTTTTCATGACATCGTTGGATTTTTGATAAAAACTTGTACGTGTCTTTAATGAAAGCGCTTATAGCATAAGAACTTGTGAGCACAAGTGTTGGCTACAAAAGCAATCCAAAAAGATGAACAAGATCAAGGGGTTTGGAGCCTGTGATGTAATATTCTTACCATGCTGCCGGTTTTATCTTATACAAACTTAATAAATTGTGAGTTTAATATTTTCTTGGTTATCATTCATTCTCTGCTGCAATGGTTTTATATACACCTTACACACACGCATGTAATAAACTACAGATATAAAACTGGCGTGCTTGCTGCCCATGCTGCAATATTTCTTCTGTGCTAACTGCCCATGCTGCAACACATCAGAGCACATGAGCTGACACCATGTGCTAGTCTGCTGCAATATTCCTTCTGTCCAAATGCTTGCTGTGCTGTCTTCCAATACTTTCCTTTAACACTCCCCCTCAAGTTGGAGTGTGAATGTCAATCACACCCAACTTGCCCAAATGTGCATGGAAGATGGGTGCACGTAATGGCTTAGTAAATAAGTCTGCGACTTGCTCCCCCGTCTTGACATAAGAAGTTTTGATTTCTCCTTTTTGAACTCGCTCACGGACTGTGTGGCAATCAATCTCGATATGCTTTGTACGTTCGTGATACACCGGATTTGCAGCTATGTGCAAAGCGGCTTGATTGTCACAAAACAATCTTGCTGGCTGAGGATGGTTAACATGTAAATCTTCCAATAAATACCTCAACCAACTTAATTCACAAGTGGCAGTAGCCATGGACCGATACTCCGCTTCCGCGGATGAACGAGCTACTGTAACTTGTTTCTTGCTTTTCCAAGAAACCAGTGATTTTCCAAGAAAAATACAATAACCAGTCACTGACCGGCGTGAAATGGGGCAACGAGCCCAATCTGCGTCGCAATAACCAGTTAAAGATAATTCACTTCGGGAAGAAAACATCAAACCTTGCCCAGGAGCTCCTTTAAGATATCGAAGGAGTCGATATGCTGCATCAAGGTGGTGTCGTTGCGGATCTTGCATAAACTGACTCAACGTGTTGACAGTGTATGCTATTTCCGGTCTTGTGATGGTCAAATAAATCAACTTGCCAATTAAGCGCCTATACCTCGCAGGTTCATGAAGTGAAGTGCTTCCTGTGGGTGTTAGCACTAAATCAGCCTCCATTGGAACTTTCATGGGTTTAGCACCAAGTAACCCAGCCTCCTCCAGTATGTCCAGTGTATATTTCCGTTGACAAATTGTGACTCCGGCTTTCGAACGTGCAACCTCGACTCCAAGGAAATATTTTAGAGATCCAAGGTCTTTAATTCGAAATCGACTGCTAAGGAAAGTCTTTAGGTTCTTGATCTCTGTCTCGTCGTTGCCTGTAATCACCATATCATCAACATACAACAATACAATAGTGAGTGAAGTACCCTTGACTTGGGTGAACAGAGAGTAATCTGCCTTAGATTGGCAGAAACCGATGTCACTGATAGCCGAAGAAAATTCTCGAAACCAACTTCTGGACGCCTGTTTAAGACCATATAAAGATTTGTGGAGTCGACACACAATGTTCTCCCCCTGTCGACGACACCCCGGAGGAGGCAACATGTATACTTCCTCCTGAAGTTCGCCATGAAGGAAGGCGTTTTGGACGTCCATTTGATGTAATGGCCAATGCCGGACAGCAGCGATGGTCAGTAAGCAACGCACTGTGATGAGTTTGGCAACCGGGGAAAAAGTTTCCTTGTAGTCGATACCTTCACGTTGGGTGAAGCCTTGGGCAACGAGACGCGCTTTGTAGCGATCAAGAGTGCCGTCGGAGTGGTACTTGAGTTTGAAAACCCATTTGCATCCGATAGGACGGTGGCCGGACGGAAGAGGAACGAGACTCCATGTTTTGTTGTCGTCTAGAGCTGTGAGTTCGGCCTGCATGGCTGCAACCCAGTGGGGATTTTGACAAGCCTGTTCATAGGTAGCAGGCTCCACCAAGTGGGAAATGTGAGAAACAAACCGTTGATACACGGGAGATAAGCAAGAATAGGAAACATACCGATGTAGCGGATAGCGCGTGCTGGACATGGACCGCGAGAGGGACTCGGTTGGTGTGAGCAAGGTGGAATGATGAGCCACATAATCTTTGAAGTGAGCCGGTGGTTTGGTGGGGCGAGTAGAGTGACGGGGTGGAGGTGGTTGGAGAGACACTGGAAGGGAGAGGCGAGGAGAGACGGGGTCAGATGGTGGGTGATTGTCGGTGGTGGTAGGTAACGCGGGAAGGTTGAAGTATGATGGGGAAGATTCGTGGGTGGCAGAGATAATGGGTGAGGGAAAAGTGGAGGGAGTCTCGAGGTTGGTAGGGGGGAGATTTGACAAAGGTGGAGGGGATGGTGAGATAGGCGTGTGGACCGTGGGATGGGAGGTGGTGGTAATATGGTTATTTGTGCCGTGGATCATGTCATGAGGTGGATGGATAAGGGGAGTAATAGGCAGGTCATTTTGGTCAAGGGTTGGTGAGGTGGTGTAAGGGAATATATGTTCATGAAAGATGACATCACGGGAGGTGAATATTTTATGGGTGAGAAGATCATATACCTGATAACCCTTTTGACCAAGTGGGTAACCAAGGAAAACACAACGACGAGCACGGGCGTCAAACTTAGTGATGGGTGTGAGGTTGGTGGCATAACTAAGGCACCCAAAAACTCGTAAGTGGGAATAAGTAGGTGGTGTATGATGCAAAAGTTCATATGGAGACTTATGAGAGAGCAAGGGTGTAGGTAGACGATTGATGAGATAACAAGCGGTTTGGATACTTTCCCCCCAAAATTTTAAAGGTAAGTTGGCTTGAAATCTAAGAGCACGACCAACATTTAAAAGATGCCTATGTTTACGTTCGACTACCCCATTTTGTTGTGGTGTGTAAGAACAAGAATGTTGGAAGGAGGTTCCACATGAGTCTAGGTAAGAACGCATGGAAAGAAATTCACTCCCATTATCCGCACGAAGAGCTTTAATGTTATGATGAAATTGGGTTTTGACCCAAGAGAAAAAGGATTTTAGTAATGGTTGTGTGTCGGATTTGAAATGCATAATATGTACCCAGGTAAAACGTGTAAAATCATCCACAATAGTGAGAAAATATCGTGCCCCATAGTGTGTTTGATGTTTGTGAGGACCCCAAATATCACAATGAATTAAATCAAAAGGTGCGGAAGATTTTATTTCACTAGTAGGAAAAGGTAAACGGGTTTGCTTTGCTAAAGGGCAAACTTCACAAATGTGTTTGGAATCAAACATTATTTCAGCATTAGTTTTGGCTAAGGAATGTAAAGGTGCGGATGATGGGTGCCCAAGGCGCCGATGCCATAGACTTGTGGTGTGGGAAATGTGGTTGGCAAGGTGAGGATTTTGTGTCGGGGTGAGGTAGTAGAGCCCATCAAAATGCTTGCCCAGGCCAATCATCCTCTTCGTATCCATGTCCTGCACAACACAAAAATCAGGATAGAACGTCACTATACAGCGCAAGGCTCTTGTCAATTTACTAACAGACAATAAATTGACGCGGAACTTTGGTACATAAAGAACTTTATCAAGAGATAACTCATGTGACAATTTCATTGAACCAATCCTTTTTATTTCTGCTTGCCCCCCATTCGGTAAACCAACATAGTCATGCTGAGCATCCATGATGTTGTGTGTTGGTGGCGAATGAGAAATATGATCAGTGGCTCCGCTATCAACAATCCAACATAGATTCGAATGTGGATCTGTTTGTGCTATATTGCATTTAGGCAAGAAAATACCTGTTGCATTGGCAAGTGGCTGTCCATTACCGTTATGAAGCATGGCGATGATTTGATTATACTGCTCGGTAGTGAATGTAGGACCATCAGAAGCATTGGTCTTGGTGGTTGTGGTAGGGGTGATAGCCTCGGCATTGTTGGCTGCTCCTCTCTTATTCTTGGGCCTCACATTTTTTCCATGCCATTTGTGTCCTTCTGGGAACCCAATGATGTAATAGCAACGATCCACCAAGTGTCCATCTCCATCACAGTAAGTGCATTTGAGTGACTTACGTGAAAATGTATTGGAGGTCTTGCTATTGGATGAGGATGATGCATAAGTGCGCTGGACTTGCATCGCATGCGAGGATGTCCCCATATCGCGACGACTAGCCACATCCATCTGCCGTTCATGTTGAAGAATAAGGCCATGGACTCTGCGTGTATCAGGTAGTGGACTCATCATCAGAATCGAGCCTCGTACAGTTGCATAGGATTCGTTCAATCCCATCAGAAACTGCATAACTCTCTCTTTCTCTTCCCGTTCAGCAAGTCCTTTCAAACCTGTGCAAGTGCAATCTAATGGATCATGATATGACGCTAACTCATCCCATAAGGCCTTCATCTTTGTGTAATAGGCAGAAACAGAGAGCTGCCCTTGATGATTTTCAACAATTTCTTGTCGAATCTGGTAGATCCTCGAGTCACTACTCTGTGAGAATCTGTCTCTGAGGTCGCTCCAAACTGCAGCAGCAGTTTCGGTGTACATGATGCTGCCGGCTATGTCTGAGTGGACTGAATTCACAATCCATAATGTAACCATGTCATTGCATCTTTTCCAGGCCGCATAATTTGCGTCCAGTGATGAGGGAGCCTTGATGGTTCCATCAATGAACCCAATCTTGTTCTTTGCGCTGAGACCCATGCGCATGGCACGGCTCCATTGCCCGTAGTTGTTTCCATCAAGAGTTTTGGAAACCAGGACAAGTCCAGTGTGATCTGAGTGATGAATGATGTATGGGTCTGAGAGCTCCATGAGATTCTCATCTGATTTATTGTTTTTGGGTTTGACTGGTTCTGTCATGTTGTGGTCAATGGTATTTGTGGGAGAGCTGTAGAGATTACAGAAAGGCTATGGTGGTTATTGTGTTTGGCGGAAGCATGAAAGAGTCACCAGGATCGGTGCTCTGATGCCATAATAAATTGTGAGTTTAATATTTTCTTGGTTATCATTCATTCTCTGCTGCAATGGTTTTATATACACCTTACACACACGCATGTA